ACTCAACTGCCTTGATTACTTTGCTAAGGGCAAAAGGCAATCCTAGCCTGACCCACCACCTCCAGGATCCTGTAAATCTACTTTAATATATAAAAATTCCTTTGGAAACTTCATCTCTAAACCCCCAAGATACTTGTTGGTAATCATCCCCAAGCCTATGGCCCACCAATATACATCTGTAGGGTCTCATGACTAAGCTTTCATTAGATGTTAATAAATGACCTTTTCCCAACAATAGCTAGCCCCCTCAAGGTCTGAAAATCTTGCTTCCAAAATTCTTTAGAGACTTGTGTTATCCCTAACCACTCCCAACTTGTATATAATGGGCCACTCCTCATGACCCATTGCAGCTCTTTCTAACCACAGGTCCTGTCCCTGTACTTTAATAAAATCAACTTTTTGCACCAAAGATGTCTCAAGAATTATTTCTTGACTGTCAGCTTTGAACCCCAACATCATGCGTGTAATTTAAAAGGGGCAGGAAATGACAGAGTAATGGCAGGTCTGTGATGCAAATCTCACATTGGGGAAAATTCATATTGCACCTGTAATTATTTAGAAGCTAATAATAATTGTTACAAATAATATAAAGATAATTATAGCCATTATCTGTTGAGTCTTTACGATGTGACAGGGACTCTGTTAGGAACTTCTTGTACATTTCCTAATTTAATCCTCACAACAATCTTAAGAATCAGCCATTATTATTCCCATTTTCACAGAAGGGAAAACTCTGGGTCAGAGAAATTATCATTTGGCAGGGTCACACAGCTAGTAAGTAACAAGAACAAGATTCAAATCCAGATGTGTCTAACTTCTGAGTCTATATTCTTATCCGGTAATTTCTGTAACTTCGGTGTACACGCAAAATGCAACCCAGAGCCAAGTGAAGTGGTTTGATGTATTTATTAAACCAGAAAAAGAACCAGGTATTTAAATAATAAATTATTTTTAAGCAAAGATGAAGTGAGAAACTATAGGGGAATCAGAAAAGCCAGTTCATGGAGGATTTCTATGCCATGTATGAAAATTTAAACTTGATTCTGTAGGTCATCAGGAACCACTGAAGGTTTCAAATATAGATATATGAAAATCGCCTATCTGGCATTGTTGCAGGATTTCTTTACCTTTATTGCCCGTGGTTCTTGGTCACACTTCTTTGAAGAACGAAGAGGTAACCAGAGGAAGAGTGTTGGGCAGCAAAGCAAAGTTTATTGAGTGGTAGCAAAGCAGTTTATTGAGCAATAGTATAAAGCTTCCAAAGGAGGGAGACTGAGAGGGTTGCCATCAGGAGTTTCTAAGACTAGAGGTTTTGGGGGGCTTGATGGCAGCTGTTTAATCTGATTAACCCTCAATGTGTCTGTCACCCAATCAAGTTTTTGTCATCTACCTATCACAGGGGAAAGGGCAGAGGGCTCCTTCTGGGGTGGTGTAAAATCCTTTTAAGGGTTGAGTCCTCTTAGGGTGGGTTGGGAGTCGGGGGAGGGGTCATCCCTGTCTGCCTCTCTTCAACTATCCTTCATTAGCATAGAGTCTGTCTCAATATTATGCAGGTGAAGGGATAAAATTTGTCTTTTAGAAAGAATGAGTAGGTGACTGGGCACAATATGGTTAGGAAGGAAATAAGATGAAAGTAGGAAAACTCCTGTAAGAGTTCGGGAAAAGATGTCAGAGCCTGAACCAGTGACATACAGGAGCGGGCTGGTATTGGTCTGGAGAGCCAGTTGTGTGTGTGTGTGTTTATATATATACAAATGTATATATATATATATAGCTCTTCTCAATTCCAGGTGTGGTGACATCACGGTAGTTGGAAATGAGCCACTGCAGGAGAATTTATACCACAGATCTCAGCAAACACTACAAACTAGGGCTTTCTCTTTGGAAAGCTGATTTGCCAACATATTACTGGCCAAACAAAAGCAACAGCAATTTGACTGGAGAAGGAAAACTTACCAGAGGTTAATGAGGTAAAATCAGCAATACTTACCATTAGCTGATTGATGGGGGAGAAATGTTGTTACCAGCTAGACCCCAAGACCTGACCTTTACTGCTTGCCTGCCTGTACCTATAGGCCTTTTCCCACCTTTTTCCTTTCAGCTTATCCGTAACTCAGGCAAAAGACCCTAGGGGCATAGCATCCTCAGGAGGAAAACAAAACTACCCCTTAAGCGATAACATCTGTCTGGGTAGAGATCCACTGGTCCAGACCACCCAGACCAATCTGAGATTAACCCCAACTCACACCTACAGAGATGGACCATGGAGTGACCTGTGAAATGACTGACCTTCACCTCATTATAATAGTAAAATCTCCACCCAAGGAGGAACACAAGCCTCATTTGAGCCTCATTTATACTACAATGTTAAGGCATGTTTTATTAAGCTGCATGTGTGACTTTATGCCCAGTCCTACCTACAATGACAAGGCTTCCCTATCTAAATATTCATCCTAACGCAAATAAAAGGAACCCATTCAGCCTTGCTCAGAGAGTCAGATCTTTGAAGTTTATTCCCCATGATCTCTTTATTTGCTGCGAATAAAGTTTACTTTGTGTGACAACTCCACCTGTATAGTAGTCTCTGTGACTTACCAAAAAGCAAACTCGTAGTAGCTTAGTTGCAGTGTCAGTGGGAAAAATTATAAAATGATTTATCAAATTATTAGCTTGGATAATTCAAATGGGATACTGGTGCCTCTTACCAGGAGAAGGAGTTCAAAATGGGAGAAAGATAGTGAATTCTCTTCAGGGAAAATTGAAGTATCTGTGAGACATGGTGGTAAAGATGTCCACAAGGCAGTGGTTATATAGATTTGGAACTAAAATGAGGTGGGGATTCAATATAAAATATGGGAATCATGAGAATATAACTGATAGTTGAAGTCACGGGGGAAGATATACATTTAAAACAAAACTAACAGAGCCCTGGGAAAGTCTGTGGCAAGTCTTCACATTTCATAAAGTAAATATAAATGAAATCATATGTCTTTTTGTTTAAAACAATTTCAGTAAGTAGGTAGGATTATTTTCATAAATGCTGCATTCAGAATAAAATTACACTGCATGTAAATGAATGTAAAGGAATAGTGGTATCTGATGAAAACAAATATTATAGATCAGATTTGTAAGATCTGTATAGGAAGATTTATCAAAATGACACTTTAATATTTAAGATTTTATTCATTTTAGAGAGAGACAGCATGAGTGGGAGAGGCAGAGAGAGAGAGAGAGAGAGAGAGAGGATCTCAAGCAGACTCCATGCTGAGCATGGAGCCCGTTAGGCGGCTCAGTAGATCCCTGGAATCTGAGATCATGACCGGGGCTGAAAACAAGAGTCCGAGGCTTAACTAAATATACCACCCAGGCATCCCTCAAATGACACTTTAAAACAACAAAAGGATTTTTAAATATCCAAAAGAAGGTTAACTTTTATCAAACATCTGAAAGAACAAAAACATTCTAGAAAGTACAGAGAAAAATTGAGAATTCAGCTAAAATGTAATTATAAGGAAGTGTATTCTATACTTACTCTATCTTGGCAATGTATTTTAATTGTTTATTTCTTTGCTTCTCTCATTAGACTTTACTGAGAGTGAAGGAATGTCGTGTCTTTTACCCACATTTGGGACCCTGTATATAGTTATATAATCAGAAAAAACCTGTTTCTTTCATGACAAGATGGGAAGATCGAACAGATGATCTGGGAAGGTCCTTTCAACCCTGACAGTCTATGAACAGATGATAGAAATAGATAGATAGATAGATAGATAGAAAAATATAGATAGAAAAAGTAATAGTTGCTTACTTACCACTTAAAAGAAGTGGGCTTAGTCCTTTGTAACACCAAAGGGCCAATGTTTCAAAGCTACAGAAAGGCAGTTGACTCTCAGCTTAATTACAGTGGTACGAATTTTCAATTATTCAATTAAGAATTAACAATTATAGCTACTCAACAGAGGTTGTTTCAGGACGTGGCTATCTTGGAAATAATTCGAAATGTAAAAGCTGATCCTTAGAAACTTTCAGTTTAGGTCTTCCCAATCTTTTTCATGCCATTGTCTGCACAGAAAATGGTTGTACAGCATATCAATCAATATCTCAAGGAATATTTGCCACATGTTCTCAGGACTTTGGGAAAACTAATCTAGTCCAACATCCTCATCTGCAGAGGGGAAAACTGAATCTTAGGGGATGCAATATTTCCGGATCAAGACTTTAACATGAACGCTGGGACTAGGTAGTGCCTCTGCACAACTAATTAGCCAAAGTCCCCTTTCTAGAAATTAAGCAGGATTGGATGTCAGGCTCGAAGAACAGGTCTGGGATAGCTGCAGTGGATAGGAGGACCGTCTAGATCAGTACTGCTTTAAATGTGGTCCCAAGATCACCAGCATCAGAACTTTTTAAACCGTGAGGAACTTGTTGAAAACAGATTCACCGGCCTCACACAGACATACTTAATTAGGCACTGCTGCAAGGCCAGGACATCTGCATTTTTAGGTTTGAAAACACTCCCTACCTTCCACTCCCCCACCCCCGCCCCCGCAGTATTTTTGGGCTCTAGAGCTCCAGCTCCGGCTCGAACTGAGCGGCTCCGCTCTTCGGCGCGGCACCCGCCAGCTTCACCTCGGAGCAGCGGGTGCGGCACAGTTATCCGTGTCCTCGTAGTAAACTTGTTTGTTACGTACTAGCCCTTTCGGTCGTCACAGCCAGACGCCAGCCAGCACAGCCCAAGCAAGCTGAGACCACCGCAGTGCCTCCACCAGCCTCCTGGCCCCGCGGAGTAAAAGATTGCGGAGGGGGGGCGGGGGCCGGGGGCAGAGGTGGCTCAGCTGCTCCCCCTTAAGGCCAGGACCCTCCGCAGGCAAGCCGGGCTGCGGTTTCCTTTCTCCGCCCCCGAGCTCCTCCTACTTTGCGGCCCCGCCCACTACAGCAGCCACTACAGCGCCTGCGTCAATTCTGCCTTGCCCCACCCCTACTACCAACCGGATGCTAACGGATTTCCCATGGTGCCTCGCGAGTGGCGGGCATGAGAGTAAACTGCGGAAGGTCGCCAGCGGGTTCTAGTCATTGTTGGAGTTGTTCTCTTGTGCCGCAGGGCTTCGACGAGATTGGTGCCCGGTCGCTTACTTGGCTGGTGCAATGGCGCTTTTCCGGTGCGTGTGGAGCGTGCTGAGTGCCCTGGGAAAGTCCGGATCGGACCTCTGCGCGGGCTGTGGAAGTCGACTGCGCTCTCCTTTCAGGTGGGACCGCTCACCTGCTATCTCGGGAGGTGGCACGGCCCAGGACGCTCTGGGGTTGGAGTGTATACTTTTTGTCCCTCCTAGGAGGTGCGGGCCACTATGGCCCTCTGATTCAGACCTCGTCTTTGCCTAGGTGCCTTTGAGACCAGGCCTAGACGCCAGTAGTCTTTCCGGCCACCCTCCACCTTTCCTCTTCCTTCCCGCCCCACCGCACTGTCCACTCTTGTAGCACCGGTTCCGAGTTCTCTGCGAAGTCGCGCCACGAGCCTCCCGCCATCAGTATAGGCGTTAGGGAGGCGGCGGCCAGGACCTTTCCTCCACCTTGCTCTTCCTAGGAGGCATAGGTAGAGTTTTGAGACTTCAGTTTTGCAGGTCTTCCTTCCGGTTAGGACAGGGTTTTAAATGTCACTAACATGGTGTCATCTATAGCATCTTGATGACATCTCATTTGGTATCTCTGTCATATACCGATGAATATTGTCACTTAAATACTTTATATTGGTTATTTTCTTTATACGTAGTTTTGCGTATGTACCGAGATGTTTTTCATCCACCGCGAATAGTTACCCAAAGAAGCCTCTGACTTCATATGTTCGATTTTCTAAAGAACAGCTACCCATATTTAAAGCTCAGAACCCAGGTAAGGAGTTTTGGAGCATTTATTCTTGTCTGAAGTAATAAAGAGGACACTAAACGGTTAAACTTCAAACTTGATTTGCATTTTCAAAGCATCCATTGACTGTGCGAACATAATTATTTTTAGTGGTCTGTAAAATAGGAAGTATGACGTATTTTTTACCAAGTCAAAATGCCTTAAAAATAAGTTAATGAAAAGTATTATTTTATTTTCTTACAATATATGTATTTTTTGATGCATAGTTGATGCGCAGTGTTACTAGTTTCAGGTGTACAACGTAGTGATTCTAGTGATTCCATAGAATCATAACTCTGGGTTATGCCATGCTCACTGCAAGTGTAGCTATCGGCAGTCACCAGACAGTGCTGTTAGGATATCATTGACTTTATCCTCCTGACTTACTAATTTAATGAAAGGTATTTTAAAAATAGCAGCGTGTGGAGTGGAAAGCATCCAGGGAAGAGGATGAAAAAGCTGAATTGGGGGGATATAGTTGCCATTGGCCTGGAGCACCATTGATAAATCATCTTTTACTTAGCTCCTACTTCAGGGAAGTTGCAATGAAATAATAACTTACGTTATTATATATATATAAACTGTAAAGCTCTATACAAATTATTGCTAATTTCAAGAGCTTTTTCACTGGAAATTGGTTGAATTCCTGAAAAAAGAGATTTCCAGGTAGGATATTTGTTCACTCCCTAGAAAGGCTATGGACCTTCATTTGGGGTTCTAGTGGCATAAATGTAATAACTAAATAACAGTTAACTTTATTTACGATTTCTAAAGCCCTTTCAGAGGGCACTTGTGAAAACCAAATGTGCTTTAATGAAAATTCTTACATTATAAAGAATTGGTTTAAGAAACATGTTTCAGAAGTACTCAGATCTTTTAAAATATGGTAGTTCAAACTGAGTGGTTTGTTAAAATATTTCCATACATCCCGGTTGTTCCAGTTAAGGTGAGGAAGGAAATGGGGAATGATTAATTGATTTTGGAAGAGTTGGCTTGCATATAGTACTTCTGTAATTAAAATACAATTGATGTTACATGAATCAAGACTATATTTTATTGTTTAGTCAGGTTTTATGAACTTAATAATTCCTGAAAGACTGGGAAAAAAGTTTTGTCTGAAAAATGAGGTAAAAAGCTTGAAGAAGTTGATTACCCAACTGCTTAAGCTAATAATTTCTGAGGACTATTTGGGGATATGTTATATACTTCTTAACTTTTAGATAACAGATTTTTAACAATGTTGAATAAAATAATGGAATTATGTATCAAATTTAAATTAGCTGATTAAAGAAAACCTACATCATTGTATTCAGTGTTGTGTGGTATAGAGATATCTGTAATAAAACTTAGAGCTGATGGATTATGCTTTCCTAGAAGTCTTTAGAAATTAATCCTGAGACATAAAATTGTGACTTTTTTTCATTTTATTCCAATCTATAGATGCAAAAAACTCAGAACTAATTAGAAAAATCGCCCAACTATGGAGGGAACTTCCTGATTCAGAGAAAAAAGTAAGCATATTGGTTTTTCACTATTGCTGGCCAGTTATTCTGCAGTTAAAAACAGTAGTCATGTCCTTTAAGTACCAAAAAAAATTTATTTAATACCAATTATCTATAAAGGAACTTCATACATTCTGATTCACATAAACGGTTAGAATATGAACGTACGGCAGTGATCATGACGTGTTGGCAGCAATCTGAAGTTGAAGACTAATTCTTAGACTCTCACCTTGGTTAGCATGTATATGAAAAATACAGGTTTTTAATCCATATACATGTGATTCCAGAGCACATTTTTCACTTGGTAGTTCAGTCTGTCTTTATCTGAAGTCATGCAGTTGTCTTTCCCTGTAGGTGTGCCATGTTTAATTTACCAGGGGTACTTTATTGACTTCTTATCTATGTTTTTTATTTATAGATATATGAAGATGCTTACAGGGCAGACTGGCAGGCATACAAAGAAGAGATAAACAGAATTCAAGAACAGTTAACTCCAAGTCAGATTGTATCTTTGGAAAAAGAAATCCAGCAAAAACGTTTAAAAAAGAAAGCATTAATAAAAAAAAGAGTGAGTATCAATGAAATATTCTTTTCCTTTGGCAAAGGACTGAAATTTATGTAACTATGAATATAGGGAGTTTTTTTTTAAATTTTTATATGTGTGGCTAAATGGTGGAATGTCATCAGGGGTACCCCATTTAGGAAATAATGAGATCGTTCTATTCTGCCACTAGTACCACTTGGCACTGAGTCTGTCTTGGAAACCCTTGTTACTACTTTTGGATGTATCTCTATTTAAGATACGTAGTTAGGACTAGCATGAAAGCTGTAGGAACAGAGTTATGAAACAGCCAAATCAGGAATTACAAGGATCTTTGCTTCTGGGTCTTAGCTAGAATAACCTGCTGATTTGACTTGTTTTATAAGTAATGGTGAGTTTGATGCTGAATGTTGCTGAATAGACTGAATCTATTAACACATCAGGAAGAAGTGACTTACTGTATCTAGTCAAGTAAGAAGTGTCCATAGGATGAAATTCGGTTTTTCCTTATTAAAAACCCCACATGGTTCAAAGTTTGTAGTTCCCAGCTTAATGTTATTAATTCACTTAAATTCTGTTGCTTGAAAGACTACATTTTTCTGTAAAACCAGTGTTAGGTATGAAGTAGTCAGCTTGCTGGTCCAGTACACAGACTATAGAAAATGGTCACCAGAGCTAAAACTATTTCTTTGGAAAAGTAAATTTGAGACTTTGATGTGAGATACCAACATTTCTCTCGCTGGACCTAATGTTAAGCCCTTCTAGCACCAGTGTTGAGGACTCATCCATTTTAAAGTCAGTAATCTAGATAGTAATCTAGTCTTCTGATCCAATTAGTAAAAGGAAACCAGAAAAGATAATAAGAGAAATACGGTGTCTGCTTAGGGATAGTATTTGGAGGTGTGATTACCAAAGTTTATTCTCCCTCTTTTATTCTCCCCTCTTCTTTAATGCAGCCATCCAGTGGTAAGAGTGGAGAGGACCAGAAATGAGGATTGGGCAATCATAGAGGATTTCCCTTTCATACATTTCTTTTGTTTCTTACTCTTTCTCCTCATGTTCCCAGTATTTTTTTAAAGATTTTATTTTTTTGAGAGAGCACACGCATGCACGTGAGCATGAGCAGGGGAGGGGGCAGAAGGAGAGGTAGAAGCAGACTTCTGGCTGAGCCGGGAGCCCAACATAGGGTTTGATCCCAGGACCCTGAGATCACAACCTGAGCTGAAGGCAGACTCTTATCTGACTGAGCCACCCAGGCACCCCTTGTATTCCCGTTACACGTTTGCTACACCTGTTGTAAGTTGGCCCATAGACCTTGGATAGTTGGTTCAGTTGTTGTTTCTTTGGTCTTGGTTCTCTTTGCTTTTGGATTTTTGAGGATTCTGTTAATATGGCCTTTAGTTCAGAGATTCTTTCTTTAGCTGTGTCCAGTCTAATAAGTCTATCAAAGACATTCTTCGTTTCTATTACAGCATTTTTTATACCTTTTTTTTTCTTTTGGTTCATCCTTGGGATTTCCATCTCTGTTTTTTATTGCTAGTCTGGTCTTGCATGCAGTCTAGAGTCCTCAGCATATTAACCTAGTTGTTTTAAATTCCTGGTCTGATAATTTCAACATCCCCCCATATCTGGTTCTGATGCTTACTTTGTCTCTTCAAATTATGTTTTTTTGCCTTTTAGTATGCCTTGGAAGTTTTTTCTTGATAGATGGACATGAGGTGCTGGGTGGAAGGAACTGCTGTAAATAGGCCTTAGTAGTATGATAGGTGTGGGGGCAAGAGAAGCATTCTGTAGTCCTAGGATTCGGTCCTTATCTTTCAGTGAGCCTGTGCCACTGGTCTGTGAACTTCAGAAGAGTTTCTTAGTTCACTCCTACACACACTGCCTCCCCCTTAGGTGTGGGACAGGATGGCTAGAGTGTGCAGGAGTTGGGTATTTCCCTTCACTTAGGTCAGTTAGGTTCTGGGTTAGCTGTTAAGGCCTGAGGCAGGCCTTAATAACTGAGTACTCAGGCATTTCAAAATAGTTTCTTTTCCTCTCCCCTCTTCTCCTTATAGAAGCAGGAGGGCATTTTTTTCCTGGTATTTATTGTGGAAATCTGGTCTAGCTCCTAGAGGTAGGTCTCACAATACTGTGAGGACTCTCCTGTGATTGGGTCCCCCTGTTGTTTTTAAGCTCTAAGAGTTGTCCACAGAGAGCATCCAGCAATTCATTTATTACAGTAGGGGTTTTCCTACCCCAGCACTGGTTCCAGCAGGGTTTGCCTCGACTCCATGTATTCCCTTGTATGTCTCCAGTCTAGGGGGCATCAGTTTGCCCTGTTTCCTCCTTTCTTGGATCCAAAGAAGGTTGTAGATTTTTCGGTCTGTTAAACTTTATACTTACTGCCAGGAAGTGATGACTTCCAAGCTCCTGGCATGTAGAACCAGAAACTTGAGGCCTGAAGGATTTTTTCTCTCAGACTTCCATTTTCACTCCCTGTTGGAATTTTTCTTTCTGTTGAAGATTCCCAGTGCTAACTAGTAGAGATCAGGTGAGAAGTGTGGCGATCAGGAAGTTACAAGTAGAGCACCTGGGAGAGAAATCTCTAGCAGTAGCTCTAGAAACAAAATTGGGAAGTAGTTAAGTTATGAAGTGCCTGGAGTCTACAGTAGTTTTATGACTGAGAAGTTCAGGGAGAAGATAATAAATCACAGGGGTCCTACTTTTACTTATGAATAAAAATTGGGTTATTGACTTTAACCAAATTACCATTAAAAGCCATATACTTTTATAAATTACAAGTACTACTGTCCAAATTCAGAAACTAAGTAGGATAATGCAGTATCTCTTATTCTCTGAAACTCAGAAACTAAATTGATTTAAACAGCAAGGAATATGTGTATTCTTTTCCATCTCCTGCCTCCCCTGCTCTTTGGTACCCAATTAAAAGACTTGAATTTAACACATCGTTGAGGTTTAAAAGTTGAGAGATGTCAGAGAAGAAAATGAGATTGTTAAACAGATAGTCTAGTGTTCATGAGTTGTGGTGGATCCACGTAGTGACTGGGAGATGGTAGTGTCCTGTAAAGATGAAGCTGAGATTGTTTTAACCTTTAAAAAAGATTTTGTGCATATGTGCTCAGTTATTCAGTTTGTGGAGACTATGAAAATCATATGTAAAGGAAATTGTTTTTGTATGGAAAATAACTCATAAGATCTGTTATAATTTTGAAAACTTAGTGCTATCAAAAAAAATTGTCATCTCCAGAATGAATAATCATTTTGTATGAGAATTATAACATTCACTCACAGGAACTTTCCACAGTGCATAGTAGTGAATAAAGTTTCTGTAGGTAAAGTTAAGTCTCACACAAGTTAAAACTGTATCTAACTCTTCATTTTTGTTACTCAGGAGTTAACAATGCTTGGAAAACCGAAAAGACCTCGCTCAGCTTATAACATTTTTATAGCTGAAAGGTTCCAGGAAACTAAGGATGGTACATCACAGGTAAAACAGAAAACAGCATTTGTTTTTTAAATTTTTATTTATTTTAATTTTAAAATATTTAGACAGAAAGTTGTAGCGGTGCCATGTTAGGAGGTAAAGAAAAGTAAATTATTATAAATAAGTATACAAATAAGATCCTCTTTCTTATATGTCTTTTAAAAGAAAACCCTTTTTCTTACCACATAAAATTAATTTGAGTACTTAGTGGCTAATAATGTATATTCAATTTTTTTTATTTAAAAAAATAACATTTTCAAATTCATAAGTATTTCAAAGTTCTGGAGACTTCTTATCTGGCAATTCTTTTTATATTTTTATTGTTATGTTTATTATTATTATTTTTTAATGATGTTATTTATTTATTTGACAGAGGTCACAAGTAGGCAGAGAGGCAGGCAGAGAGAGAGAGGAGGAAGCAGGCTCCCTGCTGAGCAGAGAGCCCGATGCGGGGCTTGATCCCCGGACCCTGGGATCATGACCTGAGCCAAAGGCAGAGGCTTTAACCCACTGAGCCACCCAGGCACCCCTTACCTGGCAATTCTTAACTGTTTTGTAATCACTGGGAAAGAATGAGAGTAGAATTACAATATTTTGTACTGGGATTTGAGTATAACCTATTGCTTCCTGTTATATCCTTTAATAAAATTTTGGTTATGTCCATGGGAATGTATTATACATATGAATATCATCATATGAATATGTCAAAGAAAGAAAGAAGCTTGTCATTCCTGCTAAGGCTTATTCTTTCCTTTATTTCCTTCTTAGAAGCTCCAAATATGGAATTGTATTTTTCCTTTTATAATATGATATGGTAAGAAAAGTGTTCAGATCCCTCACTGTTGTCAATCTGGAGATGAAGGTTTTTTGCCATTCTGCCACATTTTGGGTTATTTGGATCTGTAGTTCATTTCAGAAATCTCTTTAATGTATGATTAAATAATGTATATGTGACGTAGTCTTCCCTGGATGTATACTTTTCACTGATTTACTCGTTGGGATTTTATTTTACCTTATGTTCTTAAAGATTTATTTATTTTAGAGAGAGTGCAAGAGCTGGAGCGCAAGGAGAGGGATGAAGGGAGAGAGAGAGACAAGCAGACTCCCCGGTGAGTGGGGAGCCTGATGCGGGGCTTGATCCCAGGATCCTGAGATCATGACCTGAGCCCAGATCAAGAGCCAGATGCTTAACCAACTGAGCCACCCAGGCGCCCCACTCCTTGGGATTTAAAAATTCTGTTTCTTTATCTTTACATTACTAAAATGCATATCGGTTTATTTTTTTAGTTGAAATTTGCTCAGTTAGTAACTTACTTTGGATTTTATCAGTATAAGAAAATTGTATGCTATATGAGAATCCTATGATCCATAGAAGACTGTGTCTTGGAATCACCTAGAAAGCTTAATGGCTGAGGTACCCTATCCTGGGAAATTAAAATTAATGCAAATCTCATTTTTAATCATTTGAAAAATACTGGTTATACATCCTCATAGTTAAAAGAATAAAAATAAGACTTGTTATGAAAGGTACCAGGTTTCACAGCCTTGTCGTACTGCTTACTCCAGAAGCAGATACTTTCAGCTGTTTGCTGACTCTTGTGATATTTACTGCTTATCTCTAAATAATACCTTATATTATTAATTCTTGATTTATTTCAATTTTAAGCCTTATCTGTATTTTAGGCATTACCTCCCACTATATAAGACTAACATTTAATATCATCTTATCCCGCTGTTCATGTTTCCACTCACCTGCATCCCAGTATAGTTATCAGAATTTTCGTTAGTTCAGTATTGAGTATGTTATTATGATAATGTAAACTTAGTCATGGCTGAGCTGTGCCATTTGCTATGATTATTTTTCCTTTCTTACAAAACTCACTTCCACTGAAGTTCATTGTATTTTGTGTTTTTGTTTCCTTAGCTTATTATATACTATCTGTAATTTAGCCTTAAACTCTTAAATACATTCACTGGCTTTCAGTGCATTTAAGATACATTAGCTGTTCTGTCAGTTTCAGGGTGGTGCCTCTGATTTGTTCCAATTTAATTGTTGCCTTTTATGGTTAGTGCACAGTTGACATTCAGCTTTTGTGGTGCTTTTGCTTCTGTTGTCTTTCTTAGTTTACTGATTCTGTTACAGCATCTCCCCAGTGAGAGTATGTGGGAGATCAACTTTTTGAGTTTTTGCATGTCTGAAAATATTCTGTCCTTACATTGTTTGATAGTTTGGGCATAGAATTCTAGTATGGGGTCATGTTCTTTCAAAATTTTAAAAATAGTGCTTCTTTCTCTTGTAGCTGCTTCTAATTTATTTATTTATTTATTTTTAAAGATTTTATTTGAGAGAAAGAGACTATGAGAGGGGTGAGGGTCTGATGGAGAAGCAGACTCCCTGCTGAGCAGGGAGCCTAATGTGGTACTCAATCTGGAGACTCCAGGATCATGAGCTGAGCCAAAGGCAGACACTTTAACCAGTTGAGCCACCCTGGTGCCCGTTGTAGCTTCTTGTTAATGCTTTTGAGAAGTATAAGCCATTTTGATTATTAGTCCTTTGAATGTGATCTTTCTTTTTTCTTCCTTTGCTCCCCCTTTTTTCCTCTGTTCTCTCTAAGAGAAAGAGTCTTCTGCGCTGGTCCTTTGATTTTCTTTTCTGTATTGTTTTCTCTTAGCCTTTTTTGCCTTTCTTTCTGGGATATTGTATACATTTTTACTGAATCTTCACTGGCCCCAACAATACCTGGGGTAAATATACCCTTTTAGAGAGGGTAAATCCTAGAATCTGCCCATGGTGGGGATTTAATCTCCTTTTCAAGAGAATTTCAGTCAGTCTCCTGTTTTAAGCCCAACTTTCACCTCTGTTTTCTACCTATCTGATGCTGCCAATTCCTGAGCTACCTGGGAATTCTGCACTGTAAACCAGTTTGCTTTTTTGGCTTTCCCAGTGCCAACTTGGGAATCTGCCTTGTTGGTTAGGTAAGTCACTATTTCTCCACTTGCTTTTCAGCTTCTAAAATTTTTTGTTGATAGTGCCCTCGCCTGTTGTTTTTATCCACATGGGTTTATGCCATAAGAAATGTATATTCTTTTATGTTAAAAAAAAAATAAACAGTAGAAATTTTTTGCTCACAGTCTGGAGGCTGGGAAGTCCAAGACCAGGACAGCGTCAAGGTTGCCTACTGGTGAGGTCCCTTTTGGTTCATATCATCTCACTGTGTCCTCCATGGTGGAAGGGCTTTGTTTAATGGGTTTTAGGAGGGAGCAAAAGTCAGTATCTTTATATCTTTTTAATTTTCTTTAATGAATGGTGAAAGCTCAGATTATTTAGGCATGCAACTTTATAAATTATTTTTGAACTCAGTGAATACAAAACTTTATGGATTAAATATAAGCTTTTAAAAAACTTAAAGAATTGAGAACATTAAAGCAATTCCTTGCAAAGCTAAGAGAACAGTTGTTTAGTGAGTAACTGTCCCTGAATATATTAGATGTGTTTATAAAGGTAAGTTTTAAGATGTTCAAAGTATAATGGTTATATAGTCTCAGATACTATCTGGTACCTCCATTTTTGTTGATAGGAAAAAATTTAAAATTTAAAAAATGGTAAAGCTCATTGTTCATTCTGTTTTTCCTTAAAGTCACTGATAATTTCCTCTTAGCTTTAAACAAATACTTTTTAGACCATTTACCCCTCTCCTTCACATTTGCTTTCTCCTACCCCTGTGTGTCTCTCCCTGCCCCTCATTCTCCTCCCACCCATTTATTCCCATTTAGTCTCTCCTTTGTGGGAGCAACAGCACAAGCTGTATGAGGTGTGCTGACTCTCCTCTCTGCCTCTCTCCAATCATGGGTTCCCTGAATCCTTTTAATTTTATAAATGAAGAACCAAGCCTAAGGGAGGTAATAATGACTTTTTCCAAGTCATATAATTAAGTTCAGCTAGGTAGAATTAAGGACTAGTGTTATATTGTTCCCATGACAACAACTAAATACTTTGGCACAAATTTTAGAATAAAACATTAAGATACAGGGAAGAAATAAAGACACTTAGTCTTTGAAGTTAGTCTATCATAGGAATATAGATTTATACTTGAATTATTAATATTGGTGAATCAAAAAGGATACATCCACATAGCAAAGAAAACCATTAACAAAGTGAAAAGGCAACCTACTGAATGCGAGAAAAATATTTGAAAATCATATATCTGGGTACCTGGGTGGCTTAGTGCGGTAAGGCTCCGCCTTCAGCTCGGGTCATGATCTCAGGGTCCTGGATCAAGAACTGCTTTGGGCTCCCTGCTCAGCGGTGAGCCTGCTTGCCCGTCTCTCTCTGCCTGCCTCTCTGCCTACTTGTGATTTCTCTCTGTCAAATAAATAAATAAAATCTTTATTTAAAAAAAGGAAAATCATATATCTGATAAGGGGCTAATATCTAGAATATATAAAGGAACCCAATAGTAAAAAAAAAAAAAAAAAAATCTGATTAAAAAATGGGGAGGGGGGTACCTGGATAGCTCAGTTGGTTAAGTGTCTGCCTTTGTTCCGGGGTCATGATCACAGGGTCTTTGGATCGAGTCCTGCATCAGGCTCCTGGCTCAGAGGGGAGCCTGCTTCTCCCTCAGCCTTCCACTCCCCCTGCTTGTGTGCTCTCTCTATGATAAATAAATAAAATCTTTTTTCTTAAATGGGGAGATTCTCTGAATAAACATTTTTCCAAAGAAGACATACAGATGGCTAATAGGTACATAAAAAGGTGTTCAGGATCAGTACTGATGAGGGAAATGCAAATCAAAACCACAATGGGATACCACCTCAGAATGATATTATCAAAGGATGGCTGTTACCAAAAAGAATGGCTATTATAAAAAAGCTGAGAAGATCACGAGTGTTGGCAAGGATGCCGAGAAAAGGGACTCCTTGTACATGTGTTGATGGAAATGTAAATTGCAACTCACTATAGAAAATTGTATGGAGGTTCCTCAGAAAATTAATAGAATTACCATATGATCCAGCTATTCTGCTTCTGGGTATTTATCCAAAGGAACCAAAAACACTAACTCGAAAATATGTCTGCATACTTCCATGTTCATTGGGCATTATTTACAATAATCAAGACATGGAAGCAATCCCACTATCAATGGATGAATGGATAAAGAAACTGTTTTATTTATCAGTGGACTATTCAGCCATCAAAAAGAATGAAATCTTGATATTTGCAACAGTATGGATGGCCTTTGAGAGCATTATGCTAAGTGAAATAAGAAATAAACAAATACTGTGTGATCTCTTAGATGTGGAATCTTGGAAACAACCAAGTTCATAGGTACAGAGAATGGATTCGTGGTTGTTAGAGGTTAGGGCTGGGGCTGAAAATGGGGTGAGAATGGTCAAAGGGTACAAACTTGTATTTTTAAATAGAAATAAGTCTTAAGGATATAATGTACAACAGGGTGACTGTAGTTAATATTTTAAAGTTGCCTGGAATGTATCTTAAAAGTTCTCATCACAAAATTTTTGTAATTGCATTTTTGTGACATGTTAACTAGACTTATGGTGGTGATCATTTCACAGTACATACAAATAATCAAGTTTATACCTGAAACTAATAAAATGTTACATGTTGATTATATCTCAATGAAAAGATAAATATCTTCATCCTATTCACTTTTTGTATGTTTTAACGGTGTAGTAGTTTTTATTTGGAAAGAAAGGTAGGAATTGAGGAGACTTTGTCTGTGATTCTTGACATCTGAAATTTTATTGTTGAAATGAATAATAAAAAATCTTTAACCACTGAAGTGTATCTGGTACTTAGACATACGTATTTTACAGGTAAAGCTGAAGACTATAAATGAAAACTGGAAAAATCTCTCTAGTTCTCAAAAGCAAGTAAGTAGTATGGTTTTAGTTTCAAGTGTCTAGTTAAAATATCTGTGAGAAAATTAGGGCAAGGCTCGATTCATGTGAAAACAACTTTGTATCACTAATAGCACAGTTAAAGTATTTAAAATTATTTTCATATCCTTAGAAACAGTTTGGTTTTTTTCTTCTGGTAGTTTTTAACTGCAAATAAAACTGGTATTTAAAACAATGTCACTCATAACTCTGAGTGCTCACTCTATCCAGTGATAATCACTCCTTGCCTCTGTTTCTTTCCCACATCCCAAGCCCTAAAATTATACCAGCTTTATTAATTCTTGCAAAAATCTTAATTTCTGGCCCTTTTCTCATCTTTTATTTCAAAAAACTTTCCTTCTGCTGTCCCTTTTACACATGTAGAACAGTAAGGTGATTTCTAGAATATATGGAGTGTTCCAGAAATTAATTGTAGAAGACTCTTCTAAAGAAATCATTTTAACACTTAACACTTTTTCTCAGGTATATATTCAGCTTGCTAATGATGATAAAATTCGTTATTATAATGAAATGAAATCTTGGGAAGAACAGATGATGGAAGTTGGACGAAATGATCTTCTACGTCGCACGGTAAAGCACCAACGGAAAGTCGACACTGAGGAGTATTGAAATAGAAGATTGAGTTATGTTCATAATGGATAGACACAAGAAACCAATTAGGTCTCAATACCTGAAGCTATTGAAAATTAGAAAGGATAAAGTTGGTGAACATTTTATATTTAATTCCTTTTTCTTTAGCCCATGGACTTCTGCCAGTTCAGTACATTTTGTATTAGTATCTTGCTTTGGAAAACCCAAAGAGATAAAAAGTTCATGCGAAATTTATTTTGTGTTAAGGAACTACTGAGGATCAAAATAATCCATGAAATGCAGCAGTGAATCATTTTACCTTTGATAAAGGTAAATCAGACTGTGAAGTTTTTTTATACTTGATGACTGGAAGGAGTATTTTTGATTCCTTATATATATATGGAGTCAGGAGTTTCGTATTCAAAACTGTCCCAAATTGTAGAAGTCATAGTGTCCTCTGATATAATTGTACATTTTAGAAGAGCACCCATAATTCATCTAGGTAAATTCCACTTCCTAGGTATAATTCACATATTCAGAGTTGATGGTTGCACATACAAGGAATTGCTGATTTCAATTGCAGTTTTGTATAAAAAGAATGGAGAGATTTATAAACCTTTTCCTCATTGCCTTTTTCCCAGAGTAAAAACAAAGAAATTATGTACCAAATCTAAGCATATTGTTTTATACTGCATAGAATAAAGATTTTAAATGTTTCCTAATTATATGTTTTAAGGTGAAACATTCATTTTGCAGATTTTGTTTTCTTCTTTAAGTAGAGGTATGTATTCTGAATTATTTTCTTTTTCTCATGTGAGTGTATTTATCCGTAAAGTAGATAACCTGTATGGTATAAGTTTTAAAATGAGGGAATCTAAAAAACAAGTCTCCAAACTCTTTAGGCTTGGAATTTAAAAGTTTTGTGCAACATATATAAACCCATATATAAGGCACAGCCAGCTCTGGCCTGTAAGCCAAATCCAGCCTAGTGGCTGCTTTTCATAGTCTGTGGGACTACGAATTGTGTTTACAATTTTAACTCATTAAGAAGGAAGTTTCAAGACACATGAAAATTAATATGAGATTCTGTGTCCATAAAGTTTTATTGGAACACAGTTATACTTTTACTCTTATACTCTTATATAAGTTATACTTACACTCTTTTACTCATGGTTTATGGTTGCTTTTGGCCAACAGTGACAGTTGAATAAATGTTTGAGAGACTAAAGCCTAAAGCCTAAAATATTTACTATCAAACCCCTTACAAAGAAAGTTTGTCAGCCTATAGAGTAGTATGACTGGTGTTCCAATGTATAAATGTGTTGGGATAGTTCTTCAAAACTCTTTCAAAGGTTCTTGTTTTAGAATCTTTGTCACCATTTACTTTAAGAGAAAAGAAGTCAGATCACTGAAAAAGCTAAGCAAACTTGCTCCACAGTGCTAGCCAGGAAAATTATCTTTAGTTACAAATTATGTTGCAGTATAATCAAAAAGGTCCACATAGTGTGGAATGAGATTCTTTTGAAGTATTAGCTATGGCTTAGTAAAATGAACTTCAGGAACTTTTCAGTTAGCACATTACCACAAAATCTTTATCAGCTTTTAGCATTTGTTTATCCTTTAGGAGAGTTAAGCAAAGGTTTTCAAATCCATACCACATTTTTGATCAAAATAATTCATCTGTCATCATCAGTTCACAGGAACAGGATAACTCAAAATTTATATGTGCTTTATATTATGCTAACTATTGAGAAATGGCAGTTCCTAAATTTCTAGAAAACTTAGAAGATTTTTGTTGTTTCTGGATAGAAAAATCAGTAAAAAGTCACAAAAAGATGACTTAGGTATACTGAGCTTGACTGAAGACAAAAAATACAACTTAAGAGGAAGAATAAGATTTAAATGTATAAAGTTGGGTGTTTTCAAACAACTTTGTGCTGTGGTTAGGAATACGGGACAGTCTGCCATTAGTTAGATACACCATGAAAAAAAATAGATACACCATGGTTCTGAGGCTAGAGTATTTTGGGGAAGAAGAGGAGGTGCACTGTTACCAGCCTATTTGGGTTTCCAGGAGAATTAAGCGCTCACTCCCTGTGGTATCTAGAATGTTACTCCTTATGTACCTTCTTCAGGAGAATGGCGAAAGTCATCAGTCAAATAATTTATTGTGTCCTGTGCTTCAGATGAGCCCAGGGAGCATATAGGTGTCAGTGTTGGTAGTAAATATTATAGAATGGGTGAGATGGAGAAATGAATTTTGTAAATACCTGACAAAAGTACAAAACACATCTTTGCAGTTACCTTCTGAGCTCTTAGCATTTTACCTATGGATGCTATTTTACACTGAACACATTCAAATCAAATCTTCCTAAATATATTGGGATGTTCAGTATCCACTAGGTTCTCAAGTATTTACACCCTCATACAGGAAAAAGAAGTATGAAACAGTGGAAAGAGCTAGAGCAGAACTAAATTATGATAATACCAAATTGTATTGGATTTGCTTTGTTTCTAAAACAATGTTACTGTTAATACTTTAAATATTAGAATAATCTGATTCCACACCTTTCTTAAACTTCAATACATGCTGAAGACTGGCATGCCATATGCCAAATGTCATCTCGATTATACACAAAATTTCTATTATAAAGAATAAGAATTTAACATCAGTAACCAGTGGCCACTCCTGTAGAGCCTTGGTTTTTAGATGTTTAAGTTGTTCCAACAGAGTAATTGCTATAGGAAGTATAGAAGAATGCTAGAGAGAAAGATGCTCAAGAAATGAAACGGGGTTTATGCTGTTTGTCATAAGCGATTTGTCATAAAGAGATTTTTGTACTATTGTTCATAGGAGTACCAATATTAGGTTTTTGAAATAAGTTGGTGACAGAATAGAGGTCTGTGTGATTATTTTACTTTCTGATGTTTACTTAAAGAATATTGTGTGCCCATTCAGCCTATTGTGATCATGTAATTTTGCTATTGTTTTTGGCTAATCCTTTAAAATACCACTTTAAAAATAAGGCATATGTTTTTATAGTTGCTCTGAATGTGTGTATTTAAATTTGTGAATTAAAAGGGTATTGCTATAAGTGGATTTAAAGTAACTAGAAAGTTTTATTGATTTTTCTGACATTTGCTGTACCTAAAACAATCATCACCAGGTTGTGCCAAAACAGTAGGAAGTTTTTATACAGTTAACTGAGGATATCCATTATTTCTCTTAATTTTATCAACATTCACTTTAAGAATATTCTCTTCCTTTCTTTCCTGTACCCAGCTACTATCCCTTCTTTTCTTCATAGCACCAACCTCTTACAATTTTGAAAATGTTATTAAGCACAGACTGTGTTTTAAAATTTTAAAGCAGTAAAAAAAAAAAAAAAAAAAAAAAAATTTTTTTAAATATTTTTTAAATTGAGTCTTTGGAAAGAATAAGAAAATGAACATACTTACTACTTTGAATTTGTAAAACAGCATAATTATACAAAGCTGCTTTCATCAGTCTCTCACATTGTTCACAAAGTACTTTTGGTAATTGATTAAATCACTGATAATATTTAATAGCAAATACATAAAATAGAAAACCATTTTCTAATACACTTTAAAATATTTTTAAAAAATTTACTGACTAAAGAACTAAATATTTAAAATTGACCCTAAACAAGAATTTTAAATAAGCTAAACATTTTTTCCACTTTAACATCATTTGAAACATCCTTATATAAAATGGTTTCTGATTAACTTGGGTGATGTGCAACAAAATATTGGAATTTATTCTTTTTCGCTTATATTGACTGAATTTAGAATTTATCCAGTTTCATTTCTCCTTCCCCACAAATCCTGTTTAAAATATAGGAAGAAAGCCTCTGATCCAAGTACTAACCAGGCCCAACCCAGCTTAGCTTCCAATATCAGATGATATCGCGCGTGTTCGGGGTGGTATGGCTGTAGACCCCTTGCTCAGCCAGGAGCCTGCTTCTCACTGTCCCGCTCCCCCTGCTTGTGTTTCCTCTCACTGATTCTCTATCTGTTAAATAGATAAAATCTTTTAAAAAAATAAAATATGGGAAGAAGGAAGGGAGTGTATAGTTTTGACGTCACTAGTTTTGACACAGTGACCTTTTATTATATAGGCCGCCAACCAGCAGCCTTAACATTAAAGAACTTGATTTGGTTATAGCCATCTCTAAGGTTCTGTTTATTTATTTATTTATTTAACACAGATCAGAACATTTTTCTTCAGTTTAAATTTGTTAAAAAAAAAAAAAAAGTAGCCTTTTGTTCTCATATTTATGTTATCACTCAATTTCTAAGGATTCCAAACCAATTAAGCTCTAACTTTAAAAAGCATTAAAGACCCCTACTGTAGCAAACTGTGTTCTATAGTTCATCAATCTTACTTTCAAATTAAGATGAGAATGGTAGCAGTCTCCATAATCTTAAAATCTAGGTGAAACAACTTGTAAAATGTAACCAGGTCACTAGACCAACACACTAGTGTTCAACTTTCATAATTTCTAGCAGTAAAACACCTGGAATAGCCATTAACAAATGTATTCATTGGATTGTAGATTAATTTCTTTGAAAGAATTTTTAAAAAGTATAGTTCAGTTGCAGGCAAACATGAAAGATATCAAAGATCTTGTTTATCTCCACCTTTCCCAGTGGGATCAGGTGCAACTGGAACCTTATTAGTTTCAACAAAAACAGATTCAAAAGCAGATTCCAGTTCATCCAAAGAATCAGCAGCTGTGGCTACTTTAATTAGTGTTGCATTGGTAAGATTGTTGCTGCTTGGAAATTTTGCTGGATTCCGCTGCTTCTGTACCTCTTTTACCAAGACTTTTGACATAATTACAAGGTGTAAGTCTTGTTTGACCATCAAGACTAGCCAGAAGCCAGCCATGCACTTTGGGTTGCTGTTCTTTGAGAGGTTAAGTTTAGCATATTGCCAGCATGGAAAGAAATTTCTTCAGATACAGGAGCAAAATCATATTCTCTAGCAACTATGTGGTCATCCTCACCACTTGGCCAGTTCATATTGTTACTTCATCATTATGTGTAGACAGCATTTTCCAGATGAGGTAAGGACTACCAAGAATAATCGCAAAGAATAAGAACATTGGCTGAGATTTTGCTGAGTTAGCTGCTCTGCCCTCATCATCAAGGCAAGCCACAGTTCCTTCACTTTCTGCCCAAAGGTCCTCATTCAGAGCCTCTTCTTAAACTATCATCCACTGCAACTGTTTGTAAAGATACCTTATAGTCCTAACTAATGCAAAAGCTGAAAAACCCTTTGTGAAATGTATTTTTAATTGGGAAAAATGATTTGCTACATCCAGTACAGCCCCCAAACATACAGACAGCTGAAAAGGTAGCATCCATCATCATACTCACAGAGGCAAATACATGAACAATACTTCAGTGGACTGAAATGCACTTCTGCTGCTTTCTTCAGCTTGCTGAACAAATCTACTGGGTGGCAGATCATCACACACAGGTGTTTATAGCCACGCCCATCATCTCCATAACCATAAGGGCTATAGCTTCCATAAAATGCATTTCCACAGGCACCATATCTTGAAGAAAATGAACTGTAAGCAGGTCTGAAAGAAATTCACATTGCTGCTTCCTGTCTGCTGTGATGGCCTTGGAAGAAAAGGTGGGGCATTCTGGTAAGTGTTGGTTGTCCAGGTCTTGTCAGTAAAGTAGGACCCAAATCAGCAGATTGGAAAGTGGGGGCAGGTCTTCATCCTGGCCAAGCTCCAGGAATTCTGGCCAAGCTCCTTGGGTTTGGGGGTCGGGGGAGGGTCTCCTCTTCCACTCAGCTCCCAGTCTGTGCTGGGAGGTTCTATTTAAGTTACTTGTTTATACTGGAATTTTGTGCATTGAATTTGGTGGGATTAAGTGATGAGGGGTCCAAATTTATTAATCCTTCAGAAATTGTTGAAACATTATGAGCATTTGGTACCAATTTTGGATTTTTTTCCCCCAGTCACCAGTCAGAACAGTTTCTCAGCACTTGTGTAACTAAGGTGAGCAAGAATTTTACTAGTGGCAGATACTTAGAATTTTACTGGTGGTAGAGGCCAGTAGTTTTTATAACTTCGGAATTTATACCGTGACCACAAAGGTCACTTACATGAGGTTACTGGAGATTTGTTAAAAGCATCATTTTCTGTTAATTTTGATATTAACAACATCTGATTATGTGTAAACTTAGTATCAGATATAAGTTAGATCTAAACAACTCAGGATATTTATCCAAAGCTATCTCCTCACCCTCAGTTTTTACTTTTGCAAAGCTCCTACTTGTCCTCTGTAATAAGAGCCTGAATGACAATTTGGATGGTGAGATAAGACATGTCACAACTTTTAATCAATACTATTATTGACAATGTTATCTTGGATTCAGAAGGGATGTGTCCCTTTTTTAAATGGAAAATGGGAATTGATTGCTGATGAAGTTTGTTGCTGAGTATTAAGAACAAAAAAGTGTACTTGAGGAAAATAATTAGAACTAGACATTGCTCCCTATAAAAATCAAATGATGAAAAAAAGTTTTGAAAATGGTGAGATGAAGCCTTCTTTCCTTTTCCTTTTCCAAAATCCATTAAAGTGGCTAAAGAAATGCTAAACAGATAGACAAAAATAGCAATATTAGAAAATAAGAAACAGTACCATCAATAGAGTAGCAATTTCTAGTATTTTTGGAAGATAGGAGATGGGTGGTGACCAATAGGCGTTCGTTGGTGCCAACATAAACCAACCACATGAGTGAAAAATAAATGGAGGTCTCACAAGTTCTGAGTATGGGGGCTAGTAACAAAGGTTATCTCTTAAGGTTTGGAGAGAAATTGGGGTTGGGTTGGAGCAGGAGAGGAATAAAATGGACAGACTAGAGTTTGTTTCTCCTTATTTTGCTTAAGTTAAGGACAGTAGAATGATAAGATACTGCATGGTTGGCTCTATCCAAACTAGGTGGTATGATTCTTAACCCTTACTCAAAAGAAAACCTAGAGCTTTTAAACATGCAGATATGCCTAGAGTCAACGTCTGGAGGGTAGAACTGAGTGCTGGCTTTTTATAAGTTGTCTGGGTAAAATAATGTGCAGTTGGGGTTGAGAACCATTTGGTGGGAGTAGTGCTGTATTTTGGCTTCCCAACCTGGTGGTAGTGGCTGGTATTACCTGGATAGGTTATAGGTAGAGTAAATAAAGTCCATTATCCCAGCTGGAAGGTTTTCGAAAAAGCAAGAATTAGTAGTCATACCTGGACAACAAGCAGCCTGGAGCATATGGTCACTCTAGATATGAGTGTGCTTAGGTATTCCTTTCACCTCTGTGTATTTATGCTGTTGGTTTGAAGAGCCAGGTTGTACAAGGAGCTGCTTCCGTTTACTCCAGTATGCCTTGTAAATAAAACCATTTTTTGGTATGCCATGACATGAAAGAGGCTGATAAATACTGTTTCTAGCTAACCACAGGTTACTTTTAGCACATGTAGTAAGAAGTGAATTCCCTGTGAAAGAGACAGCCCCTCCACTGGTGTTGAGCCTCCAAATCAAACCCCGGCCAGTAGGCTTAATGCTGTTTAAATCACAGAATCAAGCTGAGGAGTTTTTCCTTTAGCTCCTGTATAGTCAGACATACTTACTTCCTGTTTAAGGGCATATGGAGCGTTCTTCAGGTTAGGCAATATGTTAGGTCATAAGATAAACCTCAGTAAATTTAAAAAGATTTTAAAAATCATGCAAAATAATCACAATGAAAAATAAGGTAATTTGGGAAATATATAAATATGTGGAATTTAAACATCCATTCCTAAATAACCAATGTGTCAAAATAAATCACAAGAGAAATAGAAAATACATTGGAATGAATGAAAATGAAGACAACCCACCGTAATGGGATATAGCTAAAGCAATGCTTCAGAGGGATAATACGTTTAGCTTCTATTGGCTACAGTATTTATAGGAGATCACAAATCAACAACATAACCTTTCAGCTTAAGACTAGAAGCCCAAAGCAAGTGGATGGAATGAAATTGAGATTTAGAGCAGAAGTTAAAATAGATAATAGAAAATAGAGAAAAATCAATGAAT